CCTGGCGGAGAATTTACGTCGCCATAAATGTTCGGACATGGGAGGGATGAGTGGCCGCAGGAGACGGGTGTAGGAGACCAACGCTCCTTACCAAATACAGGAATTAAGGTGAAATACAAGAAGTAGGGGAAGCAGTCACCTGTTTAAGAAATGACTTTCATTCCCCTGAAGCAGCTATTCCCTCGAAATGGCTCTTGTTCCTCAGAGCACTTCAGGCCAAGTCTACCTTCCCTTAACCACAGCCTTGACTGAGAACGAGTAACATTCAAAAAAAAAAACCACAAAAACAAACAAAAAAAAACAACAAAAGTAATCATCCAGTTGTAATTTTGTTGAGAAGGGGCTCATGTTCGTATTGGTTAGTTACTTCCCTGTACCTGTCACCATTTGTTTCACCTACTGCATTAATCCACCCACTCCAGGGGTTTCCTCGTCCCTCCAACTGTAAATTGGGAAACAGATGGTACCCTTTCTCCCCTAAAGAGCAGAGACAGTGCTATGAAAACAAAAGGCAATGCCTAAACTGAAACGACCTGCAATAATCTGAAAAAAATCAAAGATAACTCTAGAGACACTTTTAAACAATCTTACTTCAAAAACCTTGTAACAATGCCACAGGCATTCTTACTCTATTAACTGGAAGAAAAACAAAGAGCTGAAACTCAGGTCTGACTTGTGCCTATCCCCAACATTTTAGTGATTTCTTCAGATCTGAAAATAGAAATCTACTTACCTAGACTGTGGAATATGGCTCAACACAACATACCTTTGTGCAAATATTAAAACTTAGAAATAAAACGTTAAATACATCAGGCCTCAGTTGTATGAACAGAACTGCAATAACTAGACTGGGGTATATGACATCCTTAGGGTGAACAGCCATCAGCAGACAGTAACTTGTCATTATCTAAAAATAGTATACTTTATATGGGAAGATGCCAATCTTTTTCCCAGGACATACAGTAATTCCTCTATTTAAATACTTTGTGAGGAAATTCCAACACTGACAGAAAGCCAGCATTATGGTTTCAGATCTATTTTGATTTAATGAGGTAAAAAAGATACGTACTTTAATGTATTTATCACTTCACTGGGTGCATTCTCTGGCTGAAAATCATCAGAACGTTCACAGGGAAAGAAATTTAATGGCTGTACTTTAAACAAAACTTCAGAGTTTAGCAAGCAGGTGTGGTAGTAAAGGCTAGAACTAGGTAATGGGGATGTAAATAGTCTTAATCTGTACTTCTTTCTCTTTGTTTTTTGAACACCTGTGATACATAATACCAGCTACTCACTGTCCTGGAAAAAAAACCCACATGAATCTACTCTGGAGGCAGAGATATTTGCTTCTTTCCCCCATTAAAAATCTCTCCAAATTCTCTGATTATTTACGTACATGAGGAAGTTTTCTGAGAAAGACTAAAGACCTGCATGAACCTGGTAGTTTCTTGTGCATCTTATACAAAGTTTATGTTCCTGAGTATGTACACAATGCATAGTAGTAAAAGAGACAAACTTCCTTGTAGGATGAGAATTTAAAAGCTTAGGAAGCATGCATACAGGATGATGTGTAGCCTTTCCTCCTTGTAAGGAACATAAACAATTTGGTGCTTGTGTGCATGTAATGAAAGTAGATAGAAGTCACTTCTTGACTTCTTTATTTGATTTTAACAGATACAGCATATTTATTAAACTGGAATAGGGAGATAATTTGATGGGCTTTTAGTACTGTTCTTTCACTTGCAGTACAAATTAGATTGCTAGTTTCTGCAATTTCATCCCAATCAATCTATTTAAACAGGCAGACAGGCCGTGTTTAAAGTGACAGTTATGAAACAATTATTATCTTTGTTACTGAAACACTCGTCAGTAACCTCATGCAGAGTTACGATTGCATCACTACTCCCGCCTATGACATTTACACCCGACTCATCTACATCTGCTTTATCATCATCTTGCCCTCTGCAGTTGTTATTTCTTCTTTTGATACTTGTAAAACAGCTCTCAAGTAGATTTTACATCCTATCTTTCTCCATTACTTTATGTTAAGAAAAAGAAAAATATTTTTATTCCTCCACAGAAAGATCACACAATGTATTTTATTTCAATAGTATATAAAAAAAAAGGTTTTCTATTGTTAAAAAATTTGGTAATAGTAAGAAAATCCATTTGTCACATTTACATTCTACAATTTGTAGATACCTTTAGAATAGCACGAGTACAAGTCACACAATTGATAACTGCAGCAGGAGGTAACAGCTTTCTCAGAATTTCTGACGATTTGTTCTTCCAGAGATTCAATGCAGACATCTGAACTTTGAATTAATAGTTCACTTTATTCTGATATTCACCTAATTATTCTGATATTGTATTAGTCTATCACTGAAGTTGTTCTAATTTAGCTTGTAGCGACTTAAAATTCCCAATAGTAGTCTGCGCTGTTAGTGTCGGACTCATAGACTGAAGTTCAACCAGGTAGCAACTAACAGCATCCAAGCAAACATTTGTGAATCGGCGCCTGTAAAGAAAAAACATGGAAAAATTGCTCCTTTTTCTCTCTGTATGTTAGAATTAATCTGAAATACCAAGTGAGCATTCTTTGAGTTTTAATGGAATAAAATATAAGCAAGACATCTGTCTGCTAGCTTTAAGTATTTATTTATTATAAAAATTCATTTTAGAAATCTAATGCTTGTGACTAAGGCATAATGAGAAACTAAATGAATCATTATTATTTATCTGATATTAAACAATAAAACATGATCCTGTTAATATCAATGGGAAATATTTAATATTTAGATATCACTTTAAATAGTAATACAATCAATATTTAAGTTATTAATTTAGATAGCAATTTAAATATCTAAAATTAGTATAAGATCACAACAATTTAGGTATTAATATCTAACTAGATATTAAAATTAAACAGCATTCACTAAAGTTCTAATAAGTTAGAGTATTTAAAACAGCTAACCATAAAAGACCAAAAAAGTGAGAAAAGATAGACGTAAACTCTATATGTGAAGAGGGGATATTTACATGTGTATTTTCAAGAGAATCAGAAAAATTTATGGTTAGAAGAATTATCAAGACTTTGCCTAGTTCAGCTTGTTGTTTGGGAGATGGTTCTGGCTGAAGTTTGTACAGTCTATTCACAAAAGTTACCAAACCTAGAGATTCCGTAATACGCAGGCAACTTGTTCAGGTAGACAGCTATTCTTTTAACTAGAAACTTTGTCTAATATTAAACCCAAATTCTTTCTTGTTGCAGACTAAGCTGAATTTTAGTCTTAGAGAGTGATTCATCACCAACCTCTTGAAAACAACTTGGGAAGATCTATCCCCAAGTTAAGTCTTCTCTTTTCCAGAATACAAGAACAGTGCTTCTACGCTTTCTTCATTAAACAGTTCACTGTTTCATTCACAAGAAGTCTGATTCTCATTTTTCCCCACTTTTTCCAGATTCCCTCAAATTTGTCGGTACTACTCCTTAAAGTATGTTGCCAGAATTTACAAAATATTCCTCTCGGTTCTTCGTGAATCTTCAGTGAAGTGGAGAAAATTACCTTTACTGAAGTAGTTAATAGGGAGGACCCTACAAATTTCTACCAACTGGTTTTGAATGAGGAGTCTCAGTAATCACTGCTAGGAAAGAAATACTAAATTCATGCAGAACAAAAGCTTTGGGGGATTGCTGAAGTGCAGTGCTATATCATATTTTACATCTTTCACTACTTATTAGGATATAGTTGCCTTTCTTACCTCGTAGGTACTCTGCTTGGATCACGTACATATCCTGATAATAATACATGAATACACTCTAAAAGATGTAATGGCTTTTTCATTCTATTCCAATATGGGTCCTAAAAAAGATTACAAAACATTAAGGAGAAAAGGAAAAAAAAATAGTGTGTGTGTACACAAATTGCCAGCTGTGGTAATTATTTATTTATTGTAATAAAAATGTAAGAGAAATGGGAATTCTATCTTAATCTATATTAAGTCTATACTTAAGTACTATTTTGACTTTTGAGTATTAAAACATACATCAGTTTAACCCAGTCTTCCATTACCTAACAGCCTGTAAAGTAACAGATTTTATGAAGTTCTGAATTCCTTACACTGCAAGGAATCTGGGTAAAAAGAAGCAAGTCAATTCTCTTTGTTTTAATTCTGTTTAAGCCTGTTCTACAAACCAAGAGTTAGAACTATGACAACTTACTCTTTATGCCTGTTGCATCAATAGTTTAGATAAGATGCAGTAATATAGCAAGTTTTAATCATTAACAGGAAACAAATAAAATCAATATATTAAAGATATGCTGTTCCTTCTGCAACGTAACAATGCTAATCCTGCTCAATCCTCAATCAGCTTTAGCTGAAGTAAAAGGACAATTTTCGTCATACTTTAGGACTAAAGTCAATAAAATCATCAGGGGGGAAAAAAGCAGCATTAAGAGCCTTTGAGAAAGAAAACAGAACAAAAGCTATGAAGTTGATATTCTGATCTAGCACGCATTACATTATTTTATGTTTCCCACAAAAGACACCTTGATAGTAGTTAAAAATGTGATTTTTTTATTTTGCAGCTATTTTCCTTACCCGTACTTTAAACAACTGGTCATATACTTCAAGCAGCTTTGGCAGTGGCACTCCAATTTCTTGCATGGTATATGTTACAAAACCTACATCCCAGTTCAAAGCACAGACCTGTTGCTCCAGAAACTGCACTAAAAAATCTGGAGGACAAAAATAATGGAATGTTAATGGAAGTCTAGCAAAGAAAGGCACTTCAAAGTGATTTACTGAAAAACTAATTTTCTGTCTTACGCACTGTTGGTACCTTTCTCCTGTGAAGCACATGTAACAGCTTCCCCCAGTCCTCACTGAGGGAAGGATATGCAAAATGTAACTACATCCAAAGATGGTATTAAACTATCTGCAATGCATGACAGGGATTATTCATCCTAAATACTTTACTACAGTTCTGCCATGGAATTATGCTGTTAAGAAGAGTTAATTAACTTTTGTTCCAGGACAAAAGAACGCATTATCATTTCATTTGCTAGAACAGCCAGCAACACTACTGCATCTTTTATCATGTTTAAGTGTCAGTAACAATTAACAAGATATTGTTCAGCACTAAAAGTTCTTCTACAATACTAAAAAAATATTGTTCTCTATCTTAATGATGTATTTTCCAGGTTTTTACATAATATCAAGTTGTCAAAATGCAAGCATTACAAAAGCAGAAAGCTCCTAAAGAGATCCAGAAATGTCCTGAATTCTGTTCTTAGAATCTGCCCCTGCAGATAGCAGTAGATACTTCAAAAGACAGCAGATAAATGTGGTTGCCTAAAACGTTATTATATGTATAAATACACATTTTTACTTTGTATAAAAACCCAAACTTTACTACTTTCTAAAACGGGATCTGCACAGACATCCATAAATAACTGTTCTAAGCTTCATTTAATTCCCATTCAAGGTGAAAACCTGTAAATTCTGGTTAAATCCCAATATAAATTATAGGAAAAACTGACCTGTAAAAACTGTAATGGTTTTGTAATCATACAATTATACTGTGTTTACAAAATTAGAGGCCAATAGGAATTAAATTTCTACTTTTTTGTCTAACTTCCCTCTCCTCAATCCCTTGTCAAAGTCACTGTAGTAATGAGCAATATCACAATGCTTTTGTTCCCAATTTCCCAAACAAAACTGAAAAGTACTATCCAGCTATCCCCAAGATCAACTCCATCACTACTGACAGTTGAAGTAATTTGTTGCTTCACGTACAGTGAAAAATTTCACAAATAACTACAGTAACTGTGTATCACAAGCATGTAATTACGTATCACAAAATTATCAGTATTCTTTCATTTCAGGTTTAAAAAAACAAAGAGACATTTCTTAGGTTAAAACTTTTTTAAGAGGCTAAAAAGAAAGCTAAGACCCATTCATGTAATGCATATGTTTGTTTACTATGCAGGCTATATGACTTGCCTAAAGGGAAGTAACGAGGTGTTCCAGCATATATCTTTCCAAGCAATATCATCTTCAGACTAAGCGCTTGCATTCTGTCAGTGGGGCTCAGAGACACACTATCGCTCACCTCTAAAAGTGAAATCATTTAGAGAAAACTTCAGAAAAAAGTTCCACATTTATATGCAACCACACTGAGTTACTGAAATTTACTGCTAACCCATCAAAATCTTACGCTACTGTCACTGCAAGATCAGCATGTGGAAGAGAAAATACATTTTCTGGTGTATATCCATACATATTCACAGATTTTTATGTGCAGTTCCATACAAATCTACTTAAGAAAACCCAACCCAACCAACCAAAAAACACCCCAAAACCCCACCACCAAACCCAACCACAAGAAACCCCCCCCCCGCAAATCCACTACCACATAGCTTTTTCCTCAAATCACTGTCAATGTTGTTTGCACAATGGCAAGTCTGAGTGCAAAATCCAAGGGAAAAATAAAAAACAAAGAGGAAGAGAAAGTGAATTACCAACTCCTGGTAAAGGGTGAGGCAGATTATCACAGCTGAGTGGCTAGGCTTGCAGAGCTGTGCCCACTGCTCTGCTTCTCTATACGTGGACAAAACCCTTATACTTATACTCCTGTCAACATTATATAAATGCTCAAGTCCCTGAAGATTCTTTGTCATGATAAAATTAAAATTTTTATTATAATTTCCTAACAGTGAAACCTTCAGACAAAATTTCACAGGTATTCTGAAGGCCATACATAATGGCATCTAAGAACAGGATGGGATGAAACGACTTCTAAAATGTTATCTGGAATGTGATTATTCAAGCCATACATGCAATATGCTCCAACATATATGTAAAAATATTATTTTTCTATCCTTCAGGCACACAAGCCAAAGGAAATAACATTAATAAATTACTAGTTAACTACACTTACAAATAAATTACAGAATAGTCCAGAAAAGATGCATCTCACTTGGACAGCATATCAGTAGCAGCACATAGTCTAAAGAGCTTTCGTTGTACCATTTTCCTATAGTTCTAGCTTGTACCACTCTTCGTCCATTAATACCTACCTTTCTCAATGATTTCTTGCCAGAGAGTTTGCACCAAGATAGGATCAGAATGACCTGCACAATGTATAATTGCAAGCTTACATTCTGAGAGCTTAAAAGGGTCAGCAAATTCTCCATACAGCTGAAAGAAAAATTAACAGGCTTTACATTTCAAGTAGAATAAAAAGGAAATTTTTAAAATTAGCTTTTCTTTATTTTGTATGGTACATGTCAGACTAGTAAAGATGCAACTTTTTCTTCCCTCCAAATGTGATAAATTGACATTTAATACACAAAAATTGTAATCACCTTGGTTATATCCATCAGCTCAGCATCAAGCTCTGAGATTGCATCTTGCACTGAAGAATGATGGGAATACTGCCGTTGTAATGTTTCTTGGATTTGAAGCTGGATCCTTGCAACCTTGTTTAAAAATAAAATATTTCAAGACTGGATTAACTTTATCAAAGCTTAAGAATACATCCAGAATTAACTTCAACTTATTTAAATGTAGAAATATTACTGTCTTACACCTCAAGGGTCTCCAATCAACTGCGTAACTTTGCCACATCGGGAAGAAAGTACTGAAAACTATTTCTACAGAATTAGTAATAAAAATGTCATGTACCATGACAAAGTGAAACAATGCAATTACAGTGTAGCTTAGATTAATATTTTTTTCTTACTTCCATTTTCTCTTCTAGTTCATGTAGGAATTCACCATCTGCAGCTACAGAGGATATAGCAGTGGAACTTTTGGCACTCAAAATGGCACGTGCAATGTATTCAAGACGCTGCTGAAGGGAAATTTCAGTGCTGCAAAACAAATATTCAACATAAAATGGATACTTAATATAATTTTTTGAGGTTTAGTTATATTCAAACTAGACTTTGGGAATTAGTATGTGACTTCTCATTTTACTAAATCATGCAGGACATTATCCAACCATGTAACCCGATCTTTGTTGCACCCTCAGTTCTAGTGTACTTCTCAATCCACTGCTCCAGTTACCTTACTGCATTATAAAATTCAGTGTAAAAAATGACCATGTAATTTCAATATGTAAAATAAGCATATAATGTATTTCCAATAATGTCCTAGATTAAAAGCTAAAATATTCCACTCATTTAATTTTTTAAAATTCCTTAAAATACATACACATAAGGTTTTGATTTTATTTTCTTTGGTTTTCCCTCAACTCCATATGTGCAATAGATCACACATAATCCATACCTATGCAGGTCAGCCAACTTTGCCAACACTCTGGCTGCATTACTAAAATTTCTGTTCTTTTCAAAGTATCTCCACAGTAAATCCATGTAACGGACTTTGTTCTGGTCAATCTTGGTCATCCGCACAAGGTAGGGTTCCAAAAAGGGGGAAGTAACCTGCAGAAGTCATATAGATAACATGTATATTCTTGCTTTCTCCCTTTTTTTTTAAAGCATCAGCATTATTACGATTAACTCTTCCAGTTCAGTGGAACCCTCCAACAAACTATATCATTGTTAGAGATGAGCTCACCTGTAACAGTTTGTCTGCCAAGTCAACTTGTATCAACCAGTTGTAAAGCGCAATACTGAAGAGTTCATCTGTTGAACGTTGAGCCAGCTTTAGCATTTGTTCAAACTAAGGGAAGAAAAGGACAAAGCTGTTATTCCAGAAATGGTTACAATACATCAAGCACCGAATACAGACATGACAATACTTAGGCTCACATTGTCTGCATGTCACCATTTTTATGAACACTCTGTACATAAAGAAGCCAATTCATGACAAATCTTGACTTTTTATTTTGATAAACTATTCCATAATTTCTTAAAAATACTAAATTCTACACCCCTTCCAGTCACACTATTTCCTGGAGTGCAGTCACGATTTTCTTGTGAGTTTCTTACATGGTGCCCAGCTTCTTCATTGCTTAGCATGTTGGGGTCAGATGAGAGCACCGGAGGACCTGGTTTTTTGGGTACGCTGGGAGACTGAGGAGCAGCTTTACTTTGGTTCACTAACTCTTGAAGGGTGTCAGTGATACATTTGTAACTGTTCAATCTGTAAACACAGCAAAAGAAAATAAAAGCTTCACAATTTTCATTGCAACTATCTATGAAATACTCTTCTCCAATATTGTTAATGTATGCTTCTGTAAACACCATTACTAAAATTTAAAAAAGATCAGAGATTTTTGTCAGCTAGGTGCCACACTCTAGTTTGTCTTCAATCACCTTTATAACAAGTATTTCTGTAATGTTCAGATCACAATGTTTTCTGCATCTATTAGTTTACCCTCTGTTCCAGAATAAACTGGTGCCATATTAATTATAATCAAGGAGACCATGCTGCGCAAAAACATCTACATTGTGTTCCTTATTATAAAATGCTTGTTTCTCATTACTCTGGATAGTTTCCCCAAAAGAGTTACTTTTCTAATCACATGAAACAAAGTACACCATATAATGGTAATACAGTATCCTGAAAACTTGCCTCTCTTGGAAAGCTTGGAGTCCAACGACATCCTCTTCCGGTTCTCCATTTTTATAGAAATGCAGGCCAAGACCTTGGGGATCTTTCTTCTCAGCAGCTGTAAGAGAGAGTTCTACTACTCCCTCATAGAAACGCACTAGGAAAAAAATCCAACAAATACCACCATTCATTATTATATTAAATTTATGCCAAAATGCTAAGTGACATCAAACACATCCCATTTTAATAAGCAAGAAAAGATAAACCTTATTCACTCTGGTCTGTACAGTAAAAACACTTATGTCTGTACCTAACCTGTGGGATTACATGCAAGTTTGAAGTTATGTATTTGTTCAGAGGCTGAAATCTTGACTGTTACAGCAGTTACATCTACATTTAAATTATGTACTACTTTCTACTGCACAAAATAGGATTCAGAACCATCTTTCAAACAGCATATTTGGCATAAAACCTCACCTGCAAAAGTACAGTCATTTACCCTCTACTTACATACAGCCCAACAATTTTTCTAAAAACATTTTTACCACATATATGAAACAAATGGACACTGCAATGTGAAATAAGTGGATGGTAACATTTTTATGCAGAAGTGGGTTTTTTGATTGATTGGTGAAATCTAGAAAGCCATTAAACAAGAACAGGTTGACATATATTAATTTTAAGAATTACTAAGAAACTGTTTATGGTAAAACACTACAAAATGAGCCAGAAGTTAGTAAACAAAACAAACAAAGAAGAAGAAGGCATGAAACGATACTACAGAAACTATTTACCAGAACATGATCAGTGATTGCCTCTTACCTTGCCTATATTGCGCACAAACATTAGCAAGGTCTACTTGATTGCTGATCTTCTGGTACTCTTTCAGTGACTCTCTTAGCATCTTCTCTTTTTCCGGTTTGCTTTGAGCCTGTCGAGACCGTTGAAGCAGTTCATTTGCCTAAAGATAAATGATGAGAAAATGAATATTTACATGAACATATAATGAACATTGTTGTAAGTTACTGAGTTATTACTTCAAACTTTAAAGCTTAAACAGTAGAAACATCATCCTCTCAAAAACACTTGTCACTTGATAACACTTGATAAGTTTCTAGCAGAAACACTGTATAATGGCAGCAGAGAGGAGGACCTAAGACTTAAACAACTGGTTCCCCACTCTCCCCTCACCAGTTACTTTTTTCAAACTTATTTCAAGAGCTTCAAAGAGCAAAGTTCTTAAAACACAATTCTCTGTCCATAAATTCCATGAAATCAGGTGACAGAAAACAAAAGACTAGGCTGAGGCAATACTGAGTAAGAACATATTTTATGAACATAAGGAGACAGTTTTATTAGACATCACATCAGAGGTAAAGACCCTATGAACACTACAATAACTGCAAATACTTCAAAGTAGAGCTTACATAATTTTCAGTATGAATCAACCACAAGACACAAACATGGACACAACCTGCCTTCATTAGTTCCTGTGGTCCTGAGACTACTCAAGCATAAATATTTACAAGCTGCCCAACTTGTATCATTTGAACACGTTCTGAAGTGGTTTGGTGCTGTAAAATCTGGAAGTGCACTTACCTTGGAACACACAGCATCATCAGTGCTATAAAGAAGAGGACAGATATCTTGCAAATGGGCAATGATGCCATCCACAGCAGCGTTATCTCTGATATAACAGTTTATGAGAGAAGCAATCAGTGCTCCAGTCAACTCTCTGTCTCTAATTACCAAGTCTTTGAAAGCAGTAATCTTTAGATGCTCTTGAAGTTCCTGAAGGTAGACAAAATTTCACTACTTTACCAAAGTTTTTACTTTATTCTGTTTAAAAGTGTCACTGTGGTACAGAAGCAAAATTAACTGCTTCCAGTAAATAGAAACATAGAAAACTCCAGTGACTGAAGTGCACAACCTAGAAATACATTCAAAATACATATTATACAGCAAAATTGAACCAATAAAGAAAGCCCTATCAGTGAAGGCACTGGGCCCTTGGATGCCAAAGGACATTGAGAACTCCTCTTAGCAGAGTTCCTCTTGCCATCTTCACCATGCATCATGTTTTAGATCTCTGAGTAAGAATGAAATTAGCAGCTCCCTCTATGTCACAAGGCACTGTCAGAATGCACACCCGATAAAATGAGTATGTCACAGTTTTTAATAAAGAGAACCATCTGAGTACTGTCATAGATGAAAAAACTGACAGATGCATACAAAGGAGGAATTTTAAAAGTTTGAGGTCTGTACTCTTTATGCTTTTTTATATTAAATTACATTGAAGACTATTGATTTTTTTAAATTATTAGGAATATTTGCTAGCATAGAGTTCCCTGTAGTGTCTATGGATGATCACTAACAGCATGAAAATACTATTATAAAAACTTTAAAACTACTGAAGACAGAGGAAAAAGTTCTACATGTTAAACAATTAGTTAACTCCTTGTCAAACACAAGAGCAAGACTGTGTTAGAAATCATGCTAACTCCCCAAAGCAACAGTGTGAAGAGCTCCTGTGCATTTGTAAAGTTTAAAAATTGTTTTTTTCATTGACAAAGAACACAACTTCTCAAATAACCCATTTTCCTATCAGGTGCTAGGACAGAATGTATAGTATTCAAATTAATAGCTTCTCCAAGGGCTGGATGTAAATTTAATTAGCAAAGGGTACACAGCAGTAGTACCTGTAGTTCTGTAAGTTTCCTTCTTTACAAACAAGGAGAGACAGAAAGAATTGGGATTGTTTAGCCTGGAGAAGAGAAGGCTCCAGGGGCATTGTGCGGGATCTTACTACTATTTACAGGAAAGTGTAAAGAAGGCAGAGCAAGACTTTTCTCAGTGGTACCCAGTGACAAGACACAATACAATGGCCAAAACCTGAAGCAAAGGAAATTACACCTGAACATAAGAAAAATCTTTTTTACTCTGTAGGTGGCTGAACACTGGAATGGGTTGCCCGGAGAGGTTGTGGAGTGTCCATCTTTGGAGATATTAAAAACCTTACTAGACACAGTCTTGGGCAATCTGCTCTAGTTGACCCTGATTTGAGCAGAGGGGGCAGGTAACCTCCAGAGGCCCCTTCCAACATCAGCTGTTCTGTTTTTTTGGACCCCTACTTACTCAGAAGTGCAAGGGTTTGAGACTCTACAACCCTATTGCTCTCCACTGTTAAACCTTTACCAACACTAAGGCAAAGAGTGAATTACTCTTGGGTGGACAACACTGGCCTATTCTTTTCAGCACATTTTGCAGAATGTGCCTAAGGCGAAAACATAGTAATTTATAAAACCTGGCTCATTATTAATTGTCAATAAAAGTAAAATAAAATCTATTGTTAGGGACACTTTCAATTTGCTAAAATTGGGTGATGAGGTCAATACTACATGTCAGTCTTGTAAAAATAAACACTTGTAACCTGAATAAAAATCCACATGTGGTTTAAAATTAATGATATGTTTCTCAATTAACTAAAGTAGTACTCCTTTGGGAATGTTTATGTAACAAAATAAATTCAGATGTTAAATACAAACAAATTAAAATCATATTAATCAGATCATACCTTCTGAAGCTCACCTACAACAACACTGAATTGGTGCTCACACAGCAACTTCCATAAAGCCAATGCCTGGCAGGTTTTGCGAACAAGCTGCTGGATGCCTTGAAGTGAGGTCTTCTCAGTTAGCTGTGCCTCAGCTGAAAAAGCAAAGAGATTGTCAATATGTAACTCTTCTACATGTTCCAAACTAGGATGTACATTTTTGGGGTTTTAAATGTCAAATTTTTTTTTCTTACATTCTTGATTAACACTGTCTAACTCTCTTTGGAGGAAAGTGCCATGTTAATAGTTACTTCAAACTATGCAACACAGGAGGAGTACTGAAAAAGTCTCAGAAAGAAGTATGGCTTGTTCACAGAGAGATATTCTCCTTTGTGGACTGCTTCAATCAGTTGCAATATTAAAGGTTTCAATATCAAACTGAAGGGTAACCATATGCAACATGTAAAAAACAGACTCTTGCCACAGTCAACCTAAAGGCTGGAATATTTATCTATCTAAATTTGAGTTTCCATACTGAGTATATGCTTCATCTCTAGTACTGTTGTAAGCAAATGTGTTTTTTCACATCAATGTCGCTGCAGAAGCACTGCTCCTGATGGAACAGTATGATATGGCATGACAACAGAAGTAAGGAGCTATCAAAGTCAGCCTTTTCTGAATAACTTATTACCAAGTATGGCATATTGATTAATGTCAAGTTTGTTTGGAAAAAAGGCATTTTTATTCAGAGCTTTTAACAAGAAAAGTGAGAAAGGCAACATCCAAATGCACCACCCTCTGGTACCTCCTGTTCAAAAGTAACTACATACCATGATATTTCCTCTGGAGTTCTTGTTGGACTTGCTGAGAACTTCCACCATCAGGCCGCATGAAACCAAGGAGCCTCTGCTGCAGATTGGCTGGTGTGCTGAAACTGCAATTCCAAAATAAAAAGAGATGGCAATATGATTACAAATAGTGAATCTTTTAAAGGCTAAATCTAAAACCTTGTTTTTAGCATCTGAATACTTGAAGCTGGAGACCATACATATACTTCAACTCAACAGATACGCATGATATAGTTTTCCAAGAGCTGGATATTAAATACCACTTGCAAATTTAACACAATAATACCTCGGGTTTCCAAGGGCTCCTGCTGTAGCAAACTGTGAATTTCTATCCAGAAATTCCTGTAAACCTTTTAGTTGTTGTAGTACACCTTCCAGTGCAAGGGATGGAACACTGCTTTCTACCTGCAAAAGAAAGCAGCCTTTTTTTAAGGAAAGCTTAATTTCCTAAAAAATTTGCACTAAAAATACAAGTACAAAGAGTATAACAAATAAATAGCATAATATTAATGTTATCACTAGAACACCACATTATTATACCACAGTCATTGAGGGGGCACACACGTGAAGAGCCAGTAGTCCTCTAAAGATACACAGTATTCAAGATGCTACTTTCTTTGTCCCTCTGGAAACCAAATCATCTGTGTTTTACTATTTCTAACTCTGAAGTAAAACAGTGATTGAGCATTGCTAAGACACAGAGTATAACAGCCAAGGTCCTCCAGAGTCTCCCAGTTATCTTATAACCGGAGGAGGAAAGCCGATGTAGCCGTTAATTTGCATTGCTGAAATTACTCAGTTCAAGATTCTATTAACATCCAGAGTCAGAAAAAAATCTGTTATTTTGATCATGGACAAAAACACTAAGATGTTAGTCAAAAAGATGCCGGAAATTTTTAAATATTTCTATGTAACTGCAATTTTTATTCTAACCCTCTAAAGCATTTTATTTTTAGGCTTTGTCTGGAGCGGTTATGCAGAAATGAAGTGCAATCACCAAATATGCAGAAAACCAGCCATTGCCAATTAACAATAGAGATCAAATTACAATTAGATTTCTTAAAAAGTAACATTCGAAATAGTAGTTCAAAAAGATTTAAAACCTACAATTACTCCTCAGTTAAGAGCACAGCACTTAAGAAAACATTCAAATGACAACTATGTTTCTTTCTCCTCATTAGTTTACAATTGGGAACAGAAGCATAACAGAGATTAAGACATATACTATAAGGAACTTCTAAAAATACAAAATAATCTTTTACGTACTGCAACAACTTCTCGATTGCCACTTTTGAAAACTCTCTCCACAACTATGCTACCATCCCAAATATTTCTGCAACACAAAACAGTACTGTGTTAAAAGCCAAGTAATTTAAGCAAGTCTCTTTGCAAGTCTTCTATGTGTAATTACTTGAGACAGAAACGGTAATGCTTTTTACTTCAGGGTCTAAAACAAGGATTTAATTTGTATGAAAATTAAACATTAAAAAAAGTTACCATTGTACATTTCTGATGGTACAGATACAGATAACTAGCAAAATTTCAAATTTTAAAACTTTAATGAGGTTAAATTTGACACTCTCAAATACTTGAAATATAGGCCAATGTTATTCTCTGGAAATATAGTGTAGGCAAACAATTGTCATAACAAAAACTTCTTTCCCAACCAGCGTGCATGAGAAATGACCAACATATGAAAATCTCTGCTCTTGCTTGGGATGTTTAGAAACACAGGACTCAACATTCAAGTAACAGAATCCTGTTTAGTCTTGCTTCATTGCTCTGATTTGAGCATTCTGTTTAAAGCTTCTTAACAGAAGAGACTTCAAGCCAGGACTTTGATCTTGTAAGTCCTGCATTTCTGTTTCATCCTTTAGTAGGAGTTTGAAACACACAGCTCATAGGTTTAAAAAATAAAAACTGCAGTTTTCAGAGTTGTACATGTACACTTGATTACAGGATCAATATCTAAGCAACTTTACTGCCCTAGCCATTCACTGAGTGTATTATTATTAATAGACCTGTAAAGAGAACATATTTTATCAACGGGTACTTCATAAACAAAAATTCACTTTACTAATTTCAAATTTAAATGCTGTTAAGATAGAATTCACCACCTACAACATTAGGGGAAAGAAAAACTATGAAACAAATTGAGTGACAGAATCTCTTTTTACATAAACACCTCACCCTATAATCCGAGCAAAGTATATGCAGATGCCATTGTGTCTTCCAGAAAATACTATCTCGGGACCCATCATTCCGCTAATGGACGTACCAGGGTGAGACACAGAATTCCCAGAAGGAAACACAGGAGTTGACATACTAGGAGGCTGTAAACCTAGGGTAAAAGTACCTAAGCATTACTCATTTGAACGCAAATAAAAGAGCCTAGGTGAAAAACAATTTTTCCAGCAAAGGAAAAGAAGGCATTACCTTGCCCAGGCGTTGTCAGAAAGCTTGGATTCGAATATGGACTATCAACAGTCAAGGCAGAACCTAAAAGGGAAAAGAAATAAAGGTAAGTTTGTTAAAAACAAACAAACAAAAACCCAAACCAGAATATAATCCATAAAATCCCTGTGTAAAAGCAGCAAAGTTGTTAAATTAAGTACTTCAAAGTTAGAACCATTCCAACAGCTTTTATTTATTGTTAAATACCAAATTCCACTCACTTCTTATCAACCCAACACTCCATAAGTGAACCAAATGGGTACACTTCTTTCAAGAACAGTTATTAAGCATTTTTTTCCAGCATTCACATGTTATTTATTGCATACCATCTGTTCCCTGCATTGAATATAATACTGTCCACTTTTTCTTGTTCTTCACATTCTGACTGCTCCCCATTCCTGATAGGGACACCTATTCTCAAAGCACCCACTTACAGTCCTTTAAATTTTTTCAAAGTATACCAGTTTTACATTCAAAGCACTCAACTGAAAGGAACTGGTATCATTACTCTTAATTTTTACACACGGCAGTTGGACAAACATTATACCAACACTGGTAAGCTGCAACATTCAGTTTGCGACTGTCCATGGCCTCAGATCAGCTGTGAATACACAACCCTTCTGCAAATTAAGTCTGAATTAGCACCCCAAAATATGAGGAACACGTGTGGTCACCTACAAAAATGTCCATGTACCATCAGCATGTAGGATGATATGTCACAGAAAGAGCAAGAAAACTGACAGTCTGAAAAGTTGGCTTTTATCAAAGTATCAGTCCTTCTTGCATTATTCACTACAGTTCTTTCAACTTGGCAACACACAACAGCGCAAAGGATAACAAAGTCCTTCACTAAACAGTGCTAATGCATTCTCAGAGCACATTCTCCTGTGTACCAAACAAAGCACAGACATGCAGAAAAGCAGCATGCAAATGCATGACTAGACTTTCAACAGTGAGAAAAAGAGTGAGCTAAGTTAAAGGTGCCTGGCCTTTTAATGCTAGCATTATTGTAATGTAGTTTCACACGGAAAATTTCAAGGTGTTTTAATAAATTTCTGTGAATGTTGTCTGACCCATCACATCGGACATCCACAGTATCAGAATCTTAATTTCACATGACAATTCTCTACCCTTTGAGCAAACGGAGTAAGAAGTAGCAGAAGAATGGTGCCATCTTCCACCTGGACCTGTCGCTGAAGCAAAATGGAAATATGTGCTTTGATGGTAGGTTTCAAAGAGGCACATATGACAGCAAATGGTACAAGCAGCCACAAAATTTAGACTTGGGAAAAACACATTTCTTTCTCAAAGGAGTAACCTTATTGATTACAGAGCTTCCCATCAATTCCCTCCCACCTTACTTTAATTCTCAGTGTGCTCCTAGCACCTGTTCTCCCCATAGCTGCTGTCCTCTCTAACTCAGATTTAATTTTACATTTGTATGCCTTGCCTCAGCTCCTGACCACATTGCTGTTATTCCACAGCATCAGGCTTGGAAAGTTATGCCATTGATGTATTAAAAATAGCCACTATTCCTAGTGGTTTAATACTCGTTAGGAATTCTGAAAAAGAGAGTCAACTGCTTTTCCAAAACTTCATCCCAGTTCATTACACCTTTCTCCAATAGTTATGAATTTGGAAATACATCAAAAATGGTATTGAAATGGAACTTCTTTGCATTCTATGCAATCAAGTTCTTTCCCCAAGTCTGATGTGTAAAATTGAATGCTACATGTCAGATAAGAGAAAAGGATCTTGGAAATTAACTAGTTCCTGACACAAAAAAAAAAAAAAGAGTAATTCAATAATTCAATCAGAGTTCTAAATTCATCATTATGAATTTATTTTTTTTAAAACCCTTAAGATCTGTAATTGAGTAACACATGTTAAGGGACAAATTCCTGAAGGAACTGTAGAAATTTAAGTGAATCTGAGTAATACAGAACAGCCTCCACTCCAATAAGCATCAAGTTCTGAGGAAAAAGAATAGATGCTATTCTCATTTTCAGGTGGCACTGATGGTCTAAGCACAAATCAAATGTCGAAGTTAGAGATTTTACAGGGAGAAATCACTCCAAAAAACTAATCCATTTCTTGATTTTTCTTCTCCTAAGCAGTATCTGCAGAGCTATGACAATGACACAGTAAGAAGATACTCTGCTGTAGCCACACAACAACCCACTAATCTTTGTAAAGTTTGAACTATTGTATTGATAAATTGTTCTCTGGCTGCTGAAGTGCTTCTGGCAGCAACAAATGTATACCTTCTTCACATAATCTTCACAGATCACATGCAACATCCGGACACTGTCTCACTAAAGCTAAAAATGACTGAAGAGAAATGGAAAAAACTCTCCTAGGTAATTAGCGAGTGAGTGGAAAATCAAGAACTATTTCAGAGAAAAAGAACACAGGTACTTGAGAGAAGGCAAAATATAACATATTTAAGGAACAAAAAAAACATCCAAACCATGAATTGTTGCTACTTACCAGCAGCAGCAGGAGAACTCAAAATAGGTCCAACCTTGCTTAGAGGAGGCAGAGCTGATGGAAATCTCACTTGTGCTTCTCCACCATACCTGAAGTTTACATGCAAAGACAAAAATTTCTCACACTTCTATGAGAAATATAGTGATTCGTGTAGGATAAAAAGGAATGATTTTCTGCATGTATAGGTATATTAAATTGACACCTGGAGAAACGGCTAAGCATAGCTAGAAGTAGGATGTGCATCTATACGCTTGAGCAATATATTAACGAGCTGTATGTCCAAATATGGTCTTAAGTAAATGTGGTTAAGTTTTTGTGCGGTATGCTGTGACGAACAATGACTACCTCAACAATGGTACAATGAAGAAAGACTATCCAAGAACCGGCCGAGACTGGTTCGAACCTCGGACCCAGGCCAAAGGAACAAGAAGGTGAAAAGTTCGCCTGAGGAAGGCCAGCTTTACTTCAACTTGGGGTCCCTCAAACGACTACCAGAGAGCACTGCGCAGACTCAGAAGAACTTTTTGGCTAATTATAATACGAAGCTGGGAGGGGTGTGGCTAGAAAATTACTATGTATAAGCTTATTGTGAAATCGAATGAATATGTAAAGCTTTGGGGCATAAATAAGGGAAATGCCATCGTAACAGTTGCACTTGTTGGTACAGCGGGAAGAAACTCGCTCCCACAGCGCCCAGCGCTGTTTGCTTGAGCATTATCCAATAAAATCATTGATTTTCAAGAATCATATGCCTGGTGAGTAGCCCTATTTATAACACTTCATACATAGTCCACTTAATTTTCATCTCTTTTGAGAATTAACAGCAATTCTGGTGTTCTTTTAAAATGGGGAATAAAAAAAATAGTGTAACTTTTCAGATATATTTGTGACTGCATTATACTTTTGGCAGAAGAACAGAAAACTAGCTGAATACATGCTACATGAAAAGCATTAACATATGCAATTGCAAGGATAAGTTAGATGAACAACTAAGTATTTTTTTTGTGGATGTTTTAACTTCTGTGGTGATGTGATATAATCAGGATTTAATGACAAATATACCAATTTTCCAAAGCAGGCTTATGCTTTAGTATCTTTTTAAGGTTTGCCTCTAAAGAAAAGTGGAAAGAAGGACACAGTTGACAAGACCCACGCTTATCCTTCTGTAATCCACAAGTAATTTGTATCCATCTCTCTCGTATAGTGTGATACACAAGCACTTTGCAACCCCTTCCCTTGCTAACATCCATCCCTCCAGAGTTATCATCCACATTTTCTCTCAGATCTTGTAATGTAATTGAGCTTACCAAAGAGCAATTATTCACAGCCTACTGAGAATAGTTTTGTAAAAGAACAAGCAAGCTTTCAGGAACTGAACATCTGAACCCTAGTGCAAACCTATGGTCAATGTGTCCCCCTTTATCATCACTCTCAACAGCTGTATCTTACCAAAACCCTTTTTACCTCCAGGATACACGCCCTGGGAGGACAGCAAAGAGACCCACAATATCCCAGCTTGTTTAAGGCAGCTAATTAAAATATACACATCTGCACCATGACAAAGATATGCAGTACTTAGGATCCACAGATGACAAATTAATTCTCCTGAGTGGAAGCCCATATTTCCTCACTCAATTTGTAGTGGAAAAACACCAAACCAATTAACAAAAAAAAAAAGTTCAACATTTATAACCAAGAGCCATCAGGCCCTGAACAGGCTACATCCATTTGAATGTAAATTTCTTTGGCACAATGGTGAACATATGCTAAGAAAACAAAATAAAACAAACCTAACTCCAAAACCCCCACAAAATCAAAGCACTTCACAGAATCACAGAATGTTAG